TGGCATAGTTGGGCGGGGGATTCAGGCACAGTTGGGCGGGGTCTGGCACAGTTGGGCGGGGTCTGGCACAGTTGGGCGGGGTCTGGCACAGTTGACATTGGATGGGGGATGAGGACCTATATGTAGACATCATGCCAGTGACCAGTCTGCTCATGTGAGACGCAACATCTTTGGCTACACAAAGTTAGTATTTGTGGGTGTGTTAAGAAAGGGGTGTGGCTGTGACCATAAATTGGGGTGTACATTTGTGGGTGTGGTTACAAGTGGGCGTGGTCAGCAAGGTGTCCCCGGATTTCATTTTTCATTCATCTGGTAGCCATACTCTGAGCCAAGCTCTTACCTCCCTTGATGGCGCAGTTGAAGTAGCTGCACATCTGACCCGTGCTCTCTAGGATGTAGGCGGAGTCTCTCCTCATGACGTACGTGAATTGCTCCGTAGGCGGGATCAGAACTTCATCTTCCTTAGGGAAGAAGGAGAATTGGCCAATTTTGGCACCGAAGCAGGTTGTAATCTGGAAGGGGGACGCCGTGCCGAAGGTTTGCGCCATGGTGCTGTTCAGAGAAGTGGAGGTGAACCTCCCGAACTTGAGTAGTGGGGAGACCTTGTAGGTGTCCTCGCTCCCCCGGAACGTTGTATATTTGCGGCTGCAGTCCGGTTTTAGGATCTGCACGGCTCTGGTCAGATAGAAGTGAAGAGCTTTAAAGTGAAAGTTGTCCAGGTAGGACTTGACAGAGGCGCCAGCGACGGCGAGGTTGGCGTTCAGTTGCTGGTATATGGGGTTCCCTTCAGGGATCTGGTTGGTGAACACCAGCAGAGCGATCCCATACTCGTCCTCAAATTCATCCGGGAGGTCGAGCTTGGACGCCATTTTGTTCCACTCTTTGGTCGCCATCTTCCAAGCATCGCCAAATTGCTGGTTGGCCTTCTCCTTCTGCAGGATCCAGGGCATGATGGCCTCGGTGAGTTCTTCTGCGCACCCGATGTACTGGTCATCAAAGACGTTGGCTTTGTACATCAGCTTGTAGGTGGCGCCATTCACCTGCGGAAAGAGATCAAAGATAAAGTGTCCGCGTGGACCGCGCCCCGTGTCTTCATACCCCGGCACCTTTCCCCAGAGAAGCCACGCTCGGGACGGCCTACTCCTTTCATCCAAAAGGGTGGGAGTAATTGTAGTCCTCTAGAGGTAAGAAACGCCGCTTTATGCTCGTCCATCGAGGGGCACAGGCCCCGCCCCTCCGTGTTCATGGCCATTGCTCTTGGACTGTGGGCCGGCCCTGGCTATAACCCCTCCCATGAGCAGCAGGTCTCAGAGAGAGAGAAAAGGATTTTACGGCTGGAACAAATATGGAATCTTTACCCAATCCCCTCGTCTGTTGTCGTATTACCTGCAGATGTTCCCATCCAATCAGAAGGCAGAATATGGCAGCCGGAAGATCCTTCGTTTTCATCTCCGAGCCGGAAAGAGAATCTTCACTGGAAAACATTTCACTCATTTTAGACGATTAGAAAACATTTTCTTTATCAAAATGCCAAAAATATCCCTCTGTCAAGTGGCCCTTTAGTAATATTACACCCCATCCCCCTCCTGATCCCTCATAGCAC